ACTAAATAAGTGTATACAATTTTAATTTAGCACAATGCAGTCTAAGTCGGCATACCACGGTCTAAACAAGTATACTACAATCTGAATCAGTATACTCGAATCTAAATCAGAGAAATGCAATCTAAATCAGATTAATGCAATCTAACTCAGGATTCTACAATCTAAATCAGGATTCTGCAATAATATTCAAATATTTAAATCTAAAGCAATATACTCCAATTTAAATCAATATACTATAATCTAATTCAGGGCATTGCATTCTGAATCAAATACTATATACTACAAGTAACCTGTAGAATGCTGTGTGGGTAATATTTTTATATTGATTTTTGTTGCAATTGCAGCAAATAGTTACCAAACAATGAGAAATCTATGGATTGAATATACTTCTGAGCTGGCTTCACGTGCATAGTTCAAGCCTGCCTAACAAGTACTTATACAATGATTTAATTACAGCACCTAGACGGTCTGTGGTTACAGCTTCATGTTCAGAGTAATCGCAAAATTGATATTACAATAGAAAATCATGAAAGACTGGCAGTCCCATGCAATTAATAGCAAGTGAAATTCCTGGAATTGAAACATGTATTTTGAAGTCACTGATGTAGGCAATGAATGATAACTTCAAGTTGGCATGAAGACGAGGTAGTTTATTTAATCAATGCTGAACTAGAGGCTGAAATTATAATTAAGTGCGTTGTCATATAATGTGTTTATTTCAATTTATTCTGAAGTCAAATAGAATACACTGGTGAAACCGTGAGTGAAATAATGTTTTGGGGGTATAGTTTACATTGTGTATGGAGTGGTAGGGTCGGGTGTCACATAATTTGTTCATTTCCAACTCTTATGAAGTCACATACAATTTCACTTAATTTATTTCCATTGAAAAGTTTTCAAGCATTACATGTGAATCCGATTTTCTCTGTGCTGTGTCTCAATAGAGTGAGGGAAATGGCATTTTCACTGGAATATATTTCAGGGGAAAAACGTTTTCAGTAAAAATGAAGTATACTACATTATTACATATGTACTGCAGTTTATTTTGAT